TTCTAAAGTAATTTTTCGGCCTCAATCCCACACCACTCCACCCTCTACTTAAGAGAATTGTCAAAATGGGGTGGGTCGACAGGGCAAAGTTTTCCCGATAAAAAGGTCGGAAAGACAGAATAATTTGGACAGTGTTAACTGCAGCGAGGGGGGGGGGCGTACAAAACTCAGCAAACAATGGCTACAGGTGTCATCTCCAGCTGGGTGCCAACCGTTTAGCTCGTTGTGTCCGACGTCTGCCTGAGCCTTGTCGGCCGGCAGCCAATCAGCAAAGTGTGCGGCATCAGCTGGGGTCGAGCTCTACCCACGCCGGCGCCAGGACAAGTGCGCCTCAAGCAGCGAATTGACAAGGGAGGTTGGACGGATCGAAGGCGGCGTGAGTAGGCGATCACGAGCGGATCAACACAAGGCATCCCAGCACGAGTCTCCTGGCATGACTGTCTCTTAGTCTGCAGATTATTTATTTTCACCAGCTCCGTATATCCAGTCTGGCAACTGTAAATCTGCCTTTCTTCCTAAAGACTGTGGAGTGCTTCAAAATGTCACCCCACCCTCTCACATCTTTTCCATTCATACTACTGATGCAAGGTGGCCCACTGCTCTCGGTCAACGTGCCAGAAATATGACATTTGCCTTAATTTCTACCGGGAAGACTTGGATCATACTTCATTATGATCATCAGAAAACGATCTTCCCCTTAACAGCCAGAAATCAATTCGGCGTTTTAGGCTGCAACCACCCATCAGTTCTGTGTCCTTCTATGTCCTTTCTGATACAGTGACATCCTTCTGATAACTTTACGCTACCCGGATTTTCAATCCGTCATGGTCGTCTCGTGTTAAAAATCTTCTTTTTGAAACAAGATTTCGGCACTTGTGTATAACATTCGACTCTTCAATTCCTACCAGATCCCTCGACGACCGATCGGGAAATCTGTAGACGTCTGCACTGACCCTTTGAATTGGCCGCCATCTTGCCATTTTCGCGCTTTATTAAACAAACCTTTTCGCATTATAAGGCATATCTTACACACGTCTACTTTGCTACTGCTGATGTTGTTATTTCCTTTTAGTAGGTGTTACAGTAGGACTGCGTTTTACACAAGCCAGGCATTTCGTTGATCGAATTTTTGGTCAGATGTGGTTATGTAGTCGCACCCGAGGCAAACAAACCCCAGCCACCTCTGATCCGGGACCGGTGGTAATAGCGCTTCATAGAGATGGGGCCGGGGAATACGCAGACGACGAATTCAGGTAGTTGTATGCAAAAGAAAAGCTGTTAGGAATGTGCAGTTGTGCTTTGAGTGGTCGAGAAATGACTGTCCTAACCCCTGGCCCTAACCATTAGCCCTAACCCTCAACCATAACCATAGCCATAAGCCCTAACCCTAACCCTTAACCGCAGCCCTAAACCCTAACCGTGAAATAGCCAACGCGAAAGCTAGAAGGAGACGACAGGCCGAAAGTCAAGAAGGACCGCCGGCATTGGGCCAAAGAAGGTAGACACGGCAACAAAGACACAAGGCCGCCAACAGAACACACACCGCAATGCACAGCAACACCATGCGAACGTAATCACACCAACTCAAAATACTTAAGTATATCAACAGTATTGTGTCCATCAGCTGCGGCTACAGAACCACACCTTACCGGATTTTTGATGATGGAGCTCATCCCCTTTCATTCTAATCTACTTGTCACGAAATCACCCTGCCTGGCTTTTATCATATCTCACGTGGTAGGTCAGCCTATTAAAAATTCCTGGTACGATGCCAAACGCGTATTGAGACCAGTGTACAGACACCAAACTCTGACTAGGCATCTTCATAACATCATTTTAACTTCCATATTTTGACCACGAAACCTGAAAGTTCTGGAGCAACATGCAAAGTCGGTTTGCTCTTTCTCAAGAGCCAGTACGTGGCCTGGCGCGGTCTCGGCGTAGGTGCACTTGCGCGACCAGGTGGTTGTTCATGTCCAGGCACGTAGTCGCACACGCACCAGCCCGCTGCCAGGAGCGACGACTGCCTGCAGCCCGTACCAGCCAGCTGCTCGCTGATTGGCTGAACACCGGCTGGCGTGCACGGCGCGAGATGCCTACGCCTTCCTGCGTGCTTCCATTCCAGCAGCTCTGTTTGGAATGCCGGCTAAGTGGGCAGTCCATGCCGGTAGTGGAAGCGAAGAGGATTGGCAAAGCGGGCGTAAGAGAGGGCCAGTAGATAGATGAGTTTTTTGGCCGATTGGGAAAATGGCAGGGGAGTAGAAAAACGCTTTTTTTCGTGAAGGCAGACAGTGCTGAAGATTGGAAAAACTCTCCTCTTAAGGAAAGTCGGACACCGGGCAGGCAGACTACGCTACGGTCGATAGGCCGGTTTTTTGGCCGATTGGAAAAACGGACAAAGAAAAGGGAGTAAGAAAACGCTTTTTTGCGAAGTTAGGCAGTGCTGAAGACTGGAAAAATTCCCCTCTTATGGAAAGTCGGACGTATAAATGAGTGGGCAGACAGAGTACGCTACGGTCGATAAGCCGATTTTTAGCGTTAGATGTCCCAGAATGACTTGGAGAAACGATCAGGCCGTCGACAGGCTCGCAAGTCATATCATTTGCACAAATTTTGTTAGGTTCCAAATCGTAGCTGTTTGTGCCTTGCAACACAGCCCGAAATTTACTCTCACCGATCCAATGTATTATTGGCCGGTTTCAAGACCTTTTTCACGGAATGAAAATGCGCCAGCCACAAGTGCTACCAACGGTTCACCAAAGACCATGCATAGACCTTTTTGCAGGTTTCTTCGACGACCACATAGCTCAGAATCACAGTCAGATAGGTACACAGACAAAATGGGAAACGAGTCCTGTGGGGATAGAAAATCATGCATTTAATCTTCAGCGCACTGAGAAAGTGGGAGGCGAGGACGTTTGTGCTATGGAAATGGTGGTAATTGGGGTTTTATGAGCGAGAAATAGCCGTTTTCGGGGAGAGAACGTTAAAAAAACGTACACTTATGTCACTGGTCTGTTTAAATGCACCAAAATAGCGTAAAACCCGAGCGCGAAATTTGAAAAACTTGGAATTAGGGACTGCAAGTGGGTGGGAAAAGAAAACTGAGGACATTGGTTAGATATCCCAGGCGAGCTGATCCCAGCCAATGCCGACCAATCACATTGCGAAAGGAACGGCGAAGAATGTGTCGTTAGATCCAAATCTTATGATGGCTGTGATCGAAAACACAACTGTAGCCGACAACGTTGATAGCCCGGCCCCCAAGCCAAAGCCTATGTCTAAAGTCTAACCCTCAATCCCCGAGTCCTAACACCTGGCTTTAAACATGGCCCTGATTCTGGTCCTAGCCCTAACCTGCGAGTCTAGCCTCTAACTTTAACCATAACAGCGGACCTAGGCCTTAACTGTAACCCTTAGCTCCCTAACACCAGCCCTAAGCCTAATCTTGAGGCGAACGCTAGCCCTAATGACAACGCTTTAGGGGGGAGGTGCAGAAAGAAATGAGTGAAAGGATAGAGGTTAAATTAAGCCTACTTAAATGACACGAGTAGGCGCTGCACAGAGGCCAAGACTAGGTGGGGTCGCACGCTCAATTGTCACCAATCCTTCTCTGGATTTGAACTTCCTGGACCATTATAAAGATTCGTTGACAGTTTACTTCAACAGTATGAAGAAGTAAGTTCAATTTGCGCGGCTTTCGAAAACGCCGTAGACCAAAAATGAGTCCCCAGGTGAATCAAGCTAAATCAGTGAAAATAAGTTGAACACCGTACTTTCTCACTCGCCTTACTTTCGACCAACCAACTTC